GCAGACCCCCTCGAGAAGAGGGCTGAGAATGAGCCTTGGTTGGCCCGGAAAAATACCAGGCCACCCAGATATGTAAACAACCTACGCTACCCGGCCCGGGCCGACCCGGTACAGATGGGAATGGCCCATAATTCTGGTCCTGGCGGGCCGGTATCCGGCACGTTTTACTGGTTTCTCTGCTCCAACACACTCGATTCAGTGGTTGAATCACCTGCAGCATCTCATCAGGCTCTGCAGAAGCCTGTTAATCACCTGCTGATTGAAATCAGGCGTTACAACTAAAACATGCTGGATACCGGCCCTCCAGGCCTGCAAACGAATCTCTCTGCTGTAGGGACTGAAATATTCTCCTCCAAGCATGTTGACCTGTCGGGTAAGGGGTTAAAGTCTCTAATCTCACTTCCTGCTTTTTGTCCCCCCTCCTTTGTCTCTGGTCAGCAGAAGCACGGTTTCCTCCAGCAGTCTCCACCCTGCTGGACAGCAAACGTGGCTGTCGTGAGCCCAAGCCCTGATGTTTGATTTACCAGCAACTTTACGCTAAATGGAACCCTCCCTTTTAACCGGCTTCAGGTTCAAACCTCTGGGAGCTCTGGGCTGAGGATTTAGTTTCCAAGGATTGTGTGAGGAGAGGAATGTGTTATTTATTGTGCTTCCCAGCCCCACAGGACTCATACCTCCACGTGCTTTGAGTGAAGACTGAAGCTTTCCTGGGGACACACAAGCCATCTGCCTTTTCACTTAGCACTGATGCAACTAAACGCTCCAGCTTTTTAGCTCTAATCAAGTCATTTTGTGTGTTTAGCTCTCATTAGCTTCATTGGCTTACAGTCTTTTCAGAAAAGTATGATTTACGACACCAGAGTTACTTAGGGGGATTTCCCCCTTGAAAGAGAAGGAAAATCAAACTTTTACTTTTGTTAATGGCAGCAATTATAGGTCATTAAAGACAGGAAGTGTTGGTTCACAGCTTCTACTTTGGAAATTAAACCATCAGACAAGAATCCTGCAGGGAATATCTGCTCAAATGGAAGGTTAAGACCTCATTAGAGTCTGATAGTGAGTTTTAGACACAAAAATTAAAGTTATTGATGTACTCCTCCTGTTTTCTTTCTGTTGGGCCGACTTCCATCTATCTGGCATCCATATGTTCACAAAGTCTGAAAGGGTTGGTGGTAATGCCGCTTTACCCAGGGGACCAACACGATACCAGCACAAGTGCTGCACTTCCCAAAGCTGCAGTGGAAAACACAAATAGCAACCTTCTAGGAGTCGTCAGCTGCCACTACAGAGGAGAGAGGAAGCCAAAAGAGGAGGAAAAACATCAGGACCGAATAAGAGGTGGAAATGGGTGTCGGCCAGGAAGCTGAACTTATCCTCCCCTAAACACAAGTCAAAGAGTGTTTCCTTTCATTGTAGGAGCTCCAGACCCCGTCATCCACCAGATACTCATGCATGCACATACACAGCTACGTGCACATCCTCCACAGAAAAGTAATGCTTTACAGATGTAACTCAAGTGAGTTTAACACTTCTAAACATCAGCAGCAAGTTTGTTGATTGAAAAATTGAGTTCCACAGTCGTGTTCCTACACACTCTGAGTCATAGGTGCTCATATCCTTCCTGGCACAGTCCCGGCACAACGTGCAGCCCTGCAGCTCGGCTCTGACAAACACTTCATTCTGAAAATCCTGAGGACACAATAAATATTTGTCAAGGCACTTTATCAGGCTGCCTTATCTTGGCGTGAACTCCAGGCACCACATGACTCCCAGGCCTTTTATTTTTCTAATTCCTTCGCTGCAGACAATAACTGGAAAATTGTTGTTTTGTAAAGCTCCTGGAAATGCTAGTGCAACTGCAAACGCCACGGTGAAACGTAGTCCAGATGAGACCTGCTCAGGTGACAAAAAGCAGAGACAAGTTTGCAGCTGCAGGGTTAATCCAGCTGATTGATTGGAGCTGGTGTATATTAATGTCTAAGCTCAGAGCACAAAGATGTCTCTCATTCGTGGATAGGAGTGGGTTAGGGTTAGGAATGATCTTTCCTTTTTGCAGATTTATCTCTTCCGGGTTTCTTGTTGTTTAGGAATTCAGGAGAATCTGTAGTCTTAGGAACCCCAGATGTGGACCCCGTGGGTCAATTTCTGCTTATTCAGGCACAAAAGTTGGGTCAGCATGGTACTGGGTGGCTTTTCACCTAAACATGGTGTTCCCCTGGGTCCACTTGTCCCTTAAAAAAAAATCTAAGTTCACTGAGAAACCAGCTGCTGCTGGTTTAGCGTCCAGGGGAGGAGCGGAGCGCGTCTCTGCACTGGTAGAGTCGTGTTGCTGTTAGCCAGTCAGAGGAGAGGTGTCATCCTCTGCTCTGGCTCACTTCTAGTTCCTGAAACAGGAGCACCAGAGCTTTTATTCCCTTCACCTATCGACTCACAAAGCATTTATTTACACTAGAGACAAATGCAAATGTGTTAAAAAATTAGCAAATTTGGTCAATAATACTTTTAGTGCTTACCTTAAACCATATTTAAAGGGGAAACATTAGTGTTTTCAAGTTAGAGCAGTTCTATGGTTTATACAAAACATGTTCACCAGTTTCAGAAGCTTCCAGAATGAGCTGTTTCAGGGATATGTCACTTTAACACAGACAAGCTGTTGCTGGCCACGCCCACCCAGTCCCCGATTGGCTGCTATGAGGAGAGGAGCTTGGATATCCGATCATACAGCGTCAACCGGTGAGGGATTCGTTGCTAATTTACCTTTTTGTGACATCACAATAAGGGGCATTTTGAAATGGCTCATTTTAGGCACATCATTTCCAAAACCAAACACCAACACAATACGAATAGACTGTTGTTATCCATGTTCAGTGACTATTGCGGCAGCAGAATTCCACATGGCAGCAAAAAAAGATGCAAAAGGTGAGTTTTTCATATGCCCCACTTAAAAATAATTTCCTTTCTATGCTGACATTTGGCGTGCAAATAGGAACTCCAAATTATGAAAAGAAAATTGGTGTTTGTGCTCCAGAATATTGAAAACTCACTTTCCTCCTAAACCCACTGTTAAACTGTTGAGAGACTTTTAATGAAAACGTCATTTTGAACCATACCTTAAAATGTTCTACGCTTTTCTATATTCATAAGAGCTCTACCTCAGTAACAGGATTGGTAGATTCCTCACAGAGCAGCATACATTTTCTGTCATCTGGTGGATTATCTGAGTACTGCAATTGGAACGGGTCCATTTTATTTCAAATCAAAATCAAATCAAATCAATCACTTATTGTCACGTCACATGTGCAGGTACACTGGTACAGTACATGCGAGTGAAATTCTTGTGTGCAAGCTTCACTGCAACAGAGTTGTGCAAAAATACAGTAACGTAAAAACAAGCAAAATATAAAAATGGCTAATCTAAGTAATAATAAGTTTCAGTTTCATTTATTATTACAGAGCAAGTTACCCCTTACCAGAGTATTACTCAACTCCCACTTCCTGTTTGAAAAATGCAACAAACGCTGTTGCCTAGCAGACCGAGAGGGCGGAGCCGCTAACAAACACACACATGCTCACAACGACATTGTGACATCATATGTTACCAGCTAATGTTCTAAGGTACCTCTTAGCCAATAGCGATGGCAGATTTAAATTCAAATGCAGTGCAGAGTTTTTACCTGACAACGGCACAACACTGACAGTTTTAGGCAGAAAATTTCAATTAGAATTAAAATGCACTAAAGTGTAAAACTATTGACTACACGTGTCTGCAGCACGATTAGACACACATTTATATAGTTTATCAGAAAAAAAGTGGAATTGAGGGTGACTTGCTCTTTAAAGATAAATGCGTCGTCCTCATCTTCCTCTGCTTATCCGGGTCCGGGTCGCGGGGGCAGCATCCCAACTAAGGACCTCCAGACCGTCCTCTCCCCGGCCTTCTCCACCAGCTCCTCCGGCAGGACCCCAAGGCGTTCCCGGACCAGATTGGAGATTTAACCTCTCCAACGTGTCCTGGGTTGACCTGGGAGCCTCCTGCCGGCAGGACATGCCCGAAACACCTCCCCGGGGAGGCGTCCAGGAGGCATTCTGACCACATGCCCAAACCACCTCAACTGGCTCCATTCGATCCGGAGGAGCAGCGGTTCTACTCCGAGTCCCTCCCGCATGTCCAAGCTTCTCACCCTATCTCTAAGGCTGAGCCCGGCCACCCTACGGAGGAAACTCATTTCGGCCGCTTGTATCCGCGATCTCGTTCTTTCGGTCATTACCCAAAGCTCATGACCATAGGTGAGGATTGGGACGTAGATCGACCGGTAAATCGAGAGCCTGGCTTTCTGGCTCAGCTCCCTCTTCCCCACGACAGATCGGCTCAGCGTCCGCATCACTGAAGACGCCGAACCAATCCGCCTGTCGATCTCCCGATCCCTCCTACCCTCACTCGTGAACAAGACCCCGAGATACTTAAACTCCTCCACTTGAGGTAGGACTTCTCCCCCGACCCGGAGGTGGCAAGCCACCCTTTTCCGGTCGAGAACCATGGTCTCAGATTTGGAGGTGCTGATCCTCATCCCAGCCGCTTCACACTCGGCCGCGAACCTACCCAGCAAGAGCTGAAGGTCAGAGCTGGATGAAGCTAGGAGGACCACATCATCCGCAAAAAGCAGAGACGAGATTCTCCTGCCACCAAACTCGACACACTCCACACCACGGCTGCGTCTAGAAATTCTGTCCATAAAAGTGATGAACAGAACCGGTGACAAAGGGCAGCCCTGGCAGAGTCCAACCCTCACCGGGAACAGGTCCGACTTACTACCGGCTATGCGGACCAAACTCACGCTCCTCTGGTTTTGACTAGAATTTAACTTTTTCCCTTTTCCTCTTAAGTAAAACACCAAGTTTTATCTACAAAATTAAAAACCCATGCAGTTAATTTGAGGCAACCTGTTAATTTATCTAATTAAAATGCTGCATTTTACACAAATTCAAAGAAAAATCAGACATTTTTACCAAAATGACTTTATTGGGAGAACTACAAAATAAAGTACAGTACATTAACGGCATCACACCTGGATTTGTAGTGAACCGAGTCCCAAACAAACATAACAACCGTCCTATCCCCATCCATCTGTTACATTCAAAAGGCTTTACTTCTGATAACAGTAGTCAAAAGTACATAGTGTGCATTCCCTGGTACCTACTATGTACAAACCAAATGTGTAAAAAACAACGAGGAAAATAGATTTAAACCATAATAGTTTACAGTTGCTTCCGTCAGAGGATCAGAGTGGAAATGACCCAGAAAATGTTTCAGAACCCAACACTACATTCATTCAACTTGTATAAAAATATGCTATGTAGGAAAAATACTTTATTTGGTTAATTTCAAGGCATGTAAAAGACTGAACGCAAACAATAATACTGGGGCACAAGAGGTTGCTACATTCTTTAGCGCACAGCTGGAATCACAGTGTGACCTCGTGCCAACAGGAGACGAAACAAATACTTTTTGGTTAATTTGTCGACGGTAGGGTTCTTTTCCCACTAAAATCCACTCTAGATCAACAAGAAGCACGGTTTGGACGGTTTCTACCCTGTTTACATTCTACAGGAACAACTAAATGAGAAATACACCCTTTTTGGAAACAAAAACAGACCTACAGAAAATCACACATTTGTTTTAATAACCGTAAACAAAATTAATGCAATAAATATCACATACATTCTCTTAAATTACATTTCTTACTCAAAGTTCAAAATAGGAAATATATATATATTACTGAAAAAGAACACTCCATTTAACAGATTAATGACGCTCATAATTTAAACATAAAAGAATATAGATCTATTGCTTCATCGTAGCTGATAAATACACGAATGTCACCTATACTTTTGACAAGATAATAAATAAGTTAAATAGTCCAAAACAACAGCTAAAAGTGATTTTCCCAAACAAACCCAACTCAAAGCGGTTTTAACCAAGAGACGACCCGTACAGGCCACTAGGTGGCGCAGAACGGAGGCACTACAGGAGGAAAAGGCGTCGAAGAAGAGAAAAAGCATGTTTTTAGTTTAGGCGTTTTCTCGGCAGGACGGGAAGAAACATGAAGTCGTCTCTTCTTGTCGAGTCATGTTAGACACATCTGATGCCTTGAAAAGGTTGCCTGCCTGACAGAGCGGTAGGAGCCCTTGGGCAAGGCACTAATGGAATGCCGTCTTTTAGCTAGAAACGTTTTATTGCAGCTATGTTACATCCAAAATGTACACGAATGAAACCATATCCTTGTGGGTTGGAGTCAGCACACTGCTCAGGACTTTAACATCTTGCTCGAAGGCACATCGGGAGGTTGCTGATATGAACCTGCGGGTCAAGCGGGGGTGTTCGGGGTGTGATTCCTGCGGCCAGCCCCCCTCCCGACCCGTCTATAATCCAAACAGAATCTCATCGGTTAGTCATCAGAAATCGACAGCCTGCTGAAGATTGGCAACCGCCTTCCCGCGTCCGGACCCGGGGACTCCGAGCCGCTGAGGCTCCCGGAGGAGCTGTTCGACCCACTGGCGTAGCTCTCCCGGTCGGAGAGCGAGTCGGGCGAGCTGGGAGGAGGCTCGAACACCGGGGACTCGCTGAGGCGCCGCAGCGTCTGCAGATGGTTGTAAGTCGGAGGGGAGGGAGGGCCGGTCCGCGTGACCCGGTACAAGGCTCCGGTTGAGTGGTCGTTGTAGCCGCCTGGAGTGTGTGCAGCGAGGGGGGCAAGCATGGCTCTCAAGTCCTGTCCCGGGAAGGGGAAGGCGCTGCCGATGCAGGACCCCGAGCTGGGGGACAGGACGTCGTCGTAGAAGCTGGGGGTTGAGGCGGTCATGGGAGGTGGCGGAGTCCGGGACGTGGGGCTGTGAAGCAGGGGAGAGTCGAGTCCGAGGTGCGTGGAGAAGCCGGAGAAGCTGAGGCTGTGGTGGAGCTTGGGTCTGTCCCGGTGGGCGTTGGACAGCTGCTGGTCGAAGCCGCTGCCTTCCCGAGCCGACCTGGGTTCAGCCGCCCGCACGTTGGCGTTCGCAGCAGGGGCTGGGCGCCGCTCGTCGGCGTTGTGGATGAAGTGACACCGGGGACCATAGGGACAAAACCCGATGGTGTGGAAGGTGCGACAAGGCTCCGTTTTGTACTTGGGGTGCCGGGACAAGCTCCGCAACTCGTGGAAGCCGTGAGCGAACTGGCATTTCTCCCCGTATTTACAGGAGCCGTTCTCCTCAAAGGGCCGGCACAGCTCGGTCTTGTAGCGGGTGGAGTTGATCTGGGCGCCGGGCTTCTGCTGCAGCACGCCCCGCTCTCCGCTCTCGCTGTAGGCGCGGTCCCGGAATCGGTTCCCCTTGTTCATGATGGAGGTGGTGCTCGGCGCGTCTTCCGTCTCCCCGCTGTAGCAGCACAGCGAGTACCTGTCTCCACTGTTCATCACCTCCAAGTTGCTGGTGGAGTTTCTGCGGTAAAACCCCGGCGTGAAGGAGCCACCGGAGCCCGCGGCGGGGACCGGAGCTCCCACAGCTTTCCTCTCCAACATGCTGTTGATGTGCAGGGCGTTCATGTTCATGCTCGTATCCTGCTTCCAACACACAGAAAAGCCGTTTTAAGTCATGCAACTCAGAGTTTAACTCAAAAAGCAGCGCAGTTTTACCTTGAACAGCATGTCCATGTCGTAGAAAGCGGACAAGACGGTCGCTGACATAACTTTTCCCCAAATCTCACACGCTGCTTCTTTCATTGATGCCCGAGGGTCCTTGAACGCAACAGGTGGTAGTTTGTGCCACGCTGGTTTTTGAGAGTTTAAAAAATGTTTAATGCCTTAAAAATATAAGTTTAATTCGGTAGAAGGAGAAAGAAGCCCAGAGGAGAGGTCTGACTTGTAGCCTGGCTGTTTCACCTCCCATGGAAAAGCTCTTTAACCTGAGACTGAGCTCCACTGCGGGGCTTTCAGGTTTTCCGCATGCCTATAAAACAAACGTCGGGGGGAAGGGCGGGGCGAGCTGGAGTCGCCGCTGCTCCACTCACCGGTTGGTCGCCAGTTCCTCCACACCACGCCTTGAAGCTAACCCCCTCCCACCAGCCATCTTAACCCTCCACGCGCACTGATTTGACTCCTTTTCTCCAAATCGGTAAACAGCGCGACGCTTTTCAGTTTGAAACAACGCGCTGCGTTCAATGGAAACATGCAAAACACGTCAACCCCTAAAGAGCAGGTGTTAAAACGTCAAACAGCAGCGCCCAGCTCTGTCTGGTGACGTGAACTTTTCAGCCTCCCCAAGGGTCCGTTTAAAAGCTGACATGTTTCTGTAGTGGAAGGAACCCGTGCCTCCCCCTCTGCTCTCTGTGGACGGGGTGAGACCTCAAATATGAGTGGTGAGGAGTCTAGGCAGAGTGCTGGACAATTTTTAGAACCCACTGATTGCATAATCAGCTTCCACCCTGCAACAGAAGGCCGCTCCAGTCTAAACACAGAGAAAAGGACCCCTGCTGAGAAACTTTGACCTACTTTTGTCAAAAGCAGATTTTGATTTAAAGTAGAAGTGTAAGTAAGCAACTTGTTTTTCACGGTCTCACACTGCAGGAATGTGTTACGTGCACTGACCATGTGGAACAGCAAAGCCAAGTGTTTCTGAAGTGACCAGAATCAGACTGGAGCGCCACCTGCTGGGCAGAGACGAAACAACACCCTGAATCTGGTGGAGGAGAAAAGCACAAAATAAAAACTAAGCAGCAAAATACTTGCGTCATCTCAACCAAACCGCGTTAGCAGCGTTTATGGACAGTTTCTGCAGGATGCTCAGAGCTCATCAGCGGTTTAGGCATGAAGGCGATTATTTTAGAATGAAAGGTAAACATTCTGAAAACTTGAGTGGTTGGGTGTTTTAACTTTTTTATTTTCTAGTTTTAGTTCTTTTGTGTTTTAAAACATTTCCTTAAAACCTTTTCTTATCATTAAAAATGTTTGCTTTAGGCTGCAAATCACGACTTACTGCACACGATCAAATAAATACACTCCTGAACAGCCTCCGTTTGGATAGTTTACAATCTACAGGGTTGGTGAGCTAACGGTTAGGCTGAAAACCAGAATTTACCATAATCCTAAAGCAACTCCAGAATTTAATAGTTTTATGCAAACCTGTACGCTGATTATTTACATGGAAATCTGTGGTTATTTACTGATATGAACATCATGAAACTTCTTAAAGAGCAAATAGCAGGTTAGAGAACCAATGTTTAGAGAAACATAATAGAAACTCATTTTAAACCTTTTTTACACAAACATGAATTATTTAAGCTTTTAGGGACATTTTTGTGATAGTTTTTTTTTTGGCCAAACCAAGTGACGCCATCTGAGGGAGTCCTGTTAGCTTAATCCAGAGACAAATATGGATTGTAATGCCAGCGCTGACACAGAGGAACCTGTAAATGTTTATAATTATACTCATGATGGACCAAAACCATAAAGTTATGAGTTTGCTGCTCACCCCAGAGGGCAGAGACAAACCAGAGAGATGGGGAGGGGGGCTGGCAGCAGGTGAGTTAACGATGCTAGCTTAAACTCGTGTGCTAACATCACAATATAGTACAGATTACTATCACGTACCAGACAGTTAAAATAGCATCGGTCAGTTAATATAATACAGGGAGTGCAGAATTATTAGGCAAGTTGTATTTTTGAGGAATAATTTTATTATTGGACAACAACCGTGTTCTCAATGAACCCAAACAACTCATTAATATCAAAGCTGAATGTTTTTGGAAGCAGTTTTTAGTTTGTTTGTACTTTTAGCTATTTTAGGGGGATATCTGTGTGTGTGCAGGTGACTATTACTGTCATAATTATTAGGCAACTTAACAAAAAACAAATATATACCCATTTCAGTTATTTATTTTTACCAGTGAAGCCAATATAACATCTCCACATTCCCAAATATACATTTCTGACATTCAAAAACAATACAAAAACAAATCAGCGACCAGTATAGCCACCTTTCTTTGCAAGGACACTCAAAAGCCTGCCATCCATGGATTCTGTCAGTGTTTTGATCTGTTCACCATCAACATTGCGTGCAGCAGCGACCACAGCCTCCCAGACACTGTTCAGAGAGGTGTACTGTTTTCCCTCCTTGTAAATCTCACATTTGATGATGGACCACAGGTTCTCAATGGGGTTCAGATCAGGTGAACAAGGAGGCCATGTCACTAGTTTTTCTTCTTTTAGACCCTTTCTTGCCAGCCACGCTGTGGAGTACTTGGACACGTGTGATGGAGCATTGTCCTGCATGAAAATCATGTTTTTCTTTAAGGATGCAGACTTCTTCCTGTACCACTGCTTGAAGAAGGTGTCTTCCAGAAACGGCAGTAGGACTGGGAGTTGAGCTTGACTCCATCCTCAACCCGAAAAGGCCCCACAAGCTCATCTTTGATGATACCAGCCCAAACCAGTACTCCACCTCCACCTTGCTGGCGTCTGAGTGGGACTGGAGCTCTCTGCCCTTTACCAATCCAGCCACGGGCACATCCATCTGGCCCATCAAGACTCACTCTCATTTCATCAGTCCATAAAACCTTAGAAAAATCAGTCTTGAGATATTTCTTGGCCCAGTCTTGACGTTTCAGCTTGTGTGTCTTGTTCAGTGGTGGCCGTCTTTCAGCCTTTCTTACCTTGGCCATGTCTCTGAGTATTGCACACCTTGTGCTTTTGGGCACTCCAGTGACATTGCAGCTCTGAAATATGGCCAAACTGGTGGCAAGTGGCATCTTGGCAGCTGCACGCTTGACTTTTCTCAGTTCATGGGCAGTTATTTTGCGCCTTGGTTTGTCTACACGCTTCTTGCGACCCTGTTGACTATTTTGAATGAAACGCTTGATTGTTCGATGATCACGCTTCAGAAGCTTTGCAATTTTAAGACTGCTGCATCCCTCTGCAAAATATCTCACTATTTTTGACCTTTCTGAGCCTGTCAAGTCCTTCTTTTGACCCATTTTGCCAAAGGAAAGGAAGTTGCCTAATAATTATGCACACCTGATATAGGGTGTTGACGTCATTAGACCACACCCCTTCTCTTTACAGAGCTGCACATCACCTAATATGCTTAATTGGTAGTAGGCTTTCGAGCCTATACAGCTTGGAGTAAGACAACATGCATGAAGAGGATGATGTGGACAAAATACTCATTTGCCTAATAATTTGCACTCCCTGTATTAATACTAATGAGCGTCTGTCAGCGGTCTCATACTCGTTAATATCCGTTCACCTAACGTAGTTTAGCTTAGAGAGACGCCTGTCATCTGGTTCTGGAGCTCATGCGGGCGTCTGTGAGCTGGACCCGACCCAGAAACCAGCGAGCCAGTCCAGCTGGTATTTTTAAAAGCTGCACATGATCGTTCCCTGGAGGTCTGCAGCGGTTCTGAGCTGGTTCCAACCCAGACACCAGCTCCACTGGCCCCATGAGTCTCTTCTGATGGTCAGTTCTGACCTGGTTCTGTCGGCGATCTGAGCTCCAGAAATCCGCATTTATTTTAAAAACCCCTCCACAGGTATCTGGAGCCCAGCGTGGACCTCCCTGTTCCGGTAACAACCAATGTGGGCTACAGAAGTCCATCTTTCAGCTGCACAAAACGCCCTCAGGCACGGAGATAGAGGCGTTGTTCCTCTGATCTAGAAACCCGTGGACTCGATGTCCAGACAGGCTGGAGTTGGTACAGCCTTCACACACTCTAGTTTATCAACATGAACACAACCCAACACTAGTAAACACACACACTGACTGGATCACATGACCTCTACCCTAAAGCCAGCCACTCTCCACACTGAGCTGAGGCAGCCTAGCTTCTAACTCCCTTTGGTTACGTCAGAGGTTCACATTTAGAAACAAGAGAAAGGAACTTTTTACTAGAGAACTCTGCTGTTATGTATTTTTAAATTAAATATCCACAATAAGCATTTCAAATAGTATTTCTGTACAGCATTTATATGAATTTTACCTACAAGTTGCTCTTTAACATTTTAGGAGATTTTTTTCAATGTGGTCTAAATGTTTGGGTAGAAGCATTTGGATGAACTGCTTTCTAAATAATTCATCTCAGGGTAATTTTACACCACATCGCCACGACTGTCGCTAGTTTAAATAAATGTTACTGTGGAGCAGAAAGCATGCAACCTCGGCGCAGCTCCACAGACTTTGATGGTCCTTCCATTAATTACATGAGGGAATGCAATGCCGATTGTAGTTTTCTGGCGCTGTAGTTTCTGGATCTGCTCAGGGTCCTGCACCTGCCAATGATGTCATCTTACTACGGCAACACCACACGGCCAAAATATATCGCATCTCTCTTTCGATTCTGTTCTTGCACATAGGATTTGGAAAGAATTTAGCAGTTTTATTAAATTTATGTTTCTTACTACCCAAATATTTTCGAACATGGTTAAGTGGTAAAGTCGTATATCCAGCCAATCATCTAGTGTGACATCATCAACAGGCGCAGGACGCCAAGCCGGCCAGAGGGAAAGAAACTAGACCCGCACCTTATGCACTTTAAACCAATTTTCATGGTTATATGTAGGAATGCAATGATACCGCTTTTTCACAAACCGATACGATACCGATACTTGGATCGGAGTACTCGCGATACGACTACCGATACTTCTATCGCACACAAAAATGCTATGAATTGGAATACAGGTTTTATTCTCTTCTCTGCTTTCAACAGGAAAAGACTGTGAGGTAGTAAAATATATGAACAGAAATGATCACAAAACTAAAAGTGTAGAAGAACAGAAATGAGAAGTTACAGTGAAGCCACTTTCAAGCAACTGCATTAGTATCGGTTCCTGGTATCGATACAGATACTAGTATCGGTACATCCCTAGTTATGTTACGAAGCCGCCAATGTTTTTCAGCAACTGGACATCATTTAATAAATTTTCAACAACGTTTCGATGGATATTTCAAGAGATTAAAGGTAAAAATACACATTGTCTTCCAACTGTGCTGCCTCATACGCCTCTAACCAGTACTGAAACGTCCTCATTTAGAGTTTGTCATTCACCCTTTTATAACTTCTCGCCTGGACTATGGGAACCCACTACTCATTGGTGCTCCTGTTTCAGCATTGAACCGGCTGCAGACTGTGCAAAATGCTGCAGCTAGGTTTCTAACCAACACAAATAGATGCTGTCACATTACCCCAGTTTTGGCACATTTACACTGGCTGCCTGTGACTTTTAGGGTTCGTTTTAGGATTTTACTATTTGTCTTCAAGCTATTTGTCGAGAGAAGCCAGTTGAGGTGGCTCGGGCATCTGGTCAGGATGCCTCCCTTGTGAGGTTTTCTGGGCACGTCCAACTGGGAGGAGACCTAAAGGTAGACCCAGGACACGTTGGAGGGACTATGTCTCTCACCTGGCCAGGGAACGCCTTGGGATTCCCCTGGAAGAGCTGGCCCAAGTGGCTGGGGAGAGGGAAGTCTGGCCCTCTCGACTTAGGCTACTGCCCCCGCAACCCAACTCTGGATAAGCGGATGAAAATGGATGGATGGATGAGTCTTCAAGGCCTTAAATGGCCTAGCACCCGTCTCTGTCAGCACTCCTTACATCATATGTGCCGGTGCGTTCCCTAAGATCAACTGACCGCCTACTGCTCTACATCGATAAGGCTAGAAGGGAGCAAGCTTTTGTACGTAGCTCCTCACCTTTGGAATGCACTCCCTCTCACCATACGAGTCTCCAATGGTCTCGGTTTTCAAGTCTAGACTGAAGACTCACTTTTATGATTTTGGACAATGATTTTGTTTATGCTTGGTTTTACTGGTTTTGTGCTACTGTTTTTTATCGTAGTGTTTTTATTATTCTTATAGTTGATTTATCTTATTCAATAGTTTTGAAATGGTCTGTTGCTGAATTTTATTGTTTGATTTTATCTCATTTTATTGAAATGTTTTTTTCTGCTTGTTTCCAACCATCTGTAAGGCACTTCGTTCAGCTCTCATGCTGAATTTAAATGAGCGGCATGAATAAAATGGTATGGTAGTCACATTAAAGGATGAAAAAAAGTGTAAATTAGCTCCAACACAGCTGGTATTTTATCATTATCCAGTAATTTCCACAGAAAACTAAATAAATTCCACTGGAAGTGCCCTTTTTTTTTGCTGTAGTGATCATTACACTTATAAAACACCACTGAATCCTACGTAAATGCCAGGGGGATAAGGTTTAAAATTATGTAATGGGAACTGCTGTGAAACTTAAGAAACTGATGCCATTTTCAGATGAACCATTTGTTGACTCATCAGTACTGGAGGAGGACTTAAATGCTATTTCTCCAAGCAGAGGCTGTTCTATAAGCTATGGGCAAAGAGGAAAACTATTTGTAACTTTTACACGAGAACATGTCAAACTGAAGAAGCGGGAAGGATCGCAGAGGTTTGTGCAGCTCTGGTGGTTACGTAGAGATTGTTTTTAGACGCTTCGCTGCTGAATCGTTTTGGACGAGATTAAAAGGGGACAGCTTGAAAAAGCAAGAGAAAAGGCAACAAGGGGGAAAAACAGATGACATAAGAGCTTGGAATCTACTACTACCAACCCTAAAGCTGGGCTGAGGGCTGCCCCGGGATTATTTGCGCTTTGGAAAGTTGTGGACAACAGTTTAATGTAGGGAACAGACACAACGAGGCTCCGGAGAAATCCCAAACACATCCTGGACAGAAACTCTTCTCCCATGGCTCAGTGTTCATTTGGTGTGTGTGTGTGTGCGTGCGGGGGGGGGGGCAGGGAGCACAACACACACACACACACGCACACACTGGAGGGAAGCCTTAAGACCGAGTCTAATGGGAAGAATCCTGCTGTAAATGAAACTCACCAGGAAAATAACACCTCATATAAACATACAGTAGAAGTCTAACACACAGTGAAGCACCAGTCATGTGACGTGTCAACGCTAACACTCTCTCCCCGTCTCGCTGAGACACACACATCTATAAGGACCATGTGTGTGTTTGCTGTTAAGGTCCACATGGCAGGGTTTGACCCTTTGGACAACGTTAACGGTGCGCCCGATTACTGTGACTAGATGTTCCTGTCGTGTGGTGAACTAGCAGCGCTCTGGTTTTTCCGCTCCGATCATAAATCTTAATAATTAAACACGTTGGATTGTCCTGGTCCGATGCACGCTCCACCATCTTTGTTCACTCCAAAGTCACGTTTGATCTTGAGAGGTTCTGCAGGACTTCCTGTCTGACTGTGAAATGTCGGTGTAGGTTGTTGGTTCAGTCACGCGGATGAACACGCAGCTCCATTGCTGGCACACCTGGGACCTTTCAGTCGTCATGTGTGCGGTCTCATGATTGAAAGTATATTTCTTCTGCCTTTGTCACCTGAATGTTTCAGATTGTTTTGGAGAACAGGTTGATGAACCAACTTTTCAGATGATTACATCTGCAAACGTTTCACCATTAAAGAAGTTGAATCTTTTCATTTAATGTCTTTTTAATTTGGGGAAAAACAAAATATGTTATTAAAAAACAAGCACGTGATCTTTGAGAGGTACATTTTACAGTTAAAAGCAAGAACGAGGTATAAAACTAACGTTCCCTTTCCCCTCTGTAATAATTAAAACAGCTCCTGGTTGCAGTTCACTGAACCATCTAGAGCCCTACTGCTTCCGTTTAAAATAAAACCATTGCCGGTCCTCGTCTTTAACGGCTGCAGCTCAGGCTCTCCAGCACCTCCAGAGCCAACGCAGCTCTGTGGCTCTGCAGCGTCAGCCGGGCGTGCTCCATGGTGCAGGAAAACTGAGGCAGTGCCGGGAGCCGGTCCAGGGCCTGCTGGGAGCTCACGGCTTTGGCCTGGGCCCGGGTCCGAATGTGGTGGATTTGGTCGGGCCCCACGGCTCCAGTGTCTTTGCTCTGTTTTAATTTAACAATGAGGCAGCCGAGGTGTGTGTGGAGCAAATTCACCCACAGACGCAGCTCGGCCCAGAGGTTCAGATCGCCTTTCTCAAACAAGAAGTCCTCTTCATCCTGGTCACAGCGAGAGGAGGTGTTTAAAGCAGATTTGTTTCCCTTTAAAGAGGATCTAACTTGATGAACACAAGTTATGCAGACATGCCTCATGATGCCGCTTTAATTAAGTCACAAAAGACAGAAAGTGGTCCTCACCAGACTGGACGCCTCGTCCTCCTCTTCATCACTGCTGCCGTCCTCCTCTCCCAGCAGCCACTGTGTGAGGACAACCAGTCCTGCTCCTAGTTGCCCCCACAGCTCAAACAGCTGACACAGGAGCGCCACACCAAAGTCCAAGGCTGCCGGAGGACAAATGGACATCCCTCTCCCCTCTGAGGACGAGAATGTCCACAAAAACATTACAATTAGTTCAAAATCACTTTTCCTACCTAACATGCCTGCAGGACATTCAAAGGAAATGTTTCTAGATAAAACTTAAACAAAACACTCTCTGCTCATCCATGCACTAATAACCCTACAGTCAGCAGCAGCAGCCACCCAGTTTGTAATTATGACTCGTGTTTTCATCGGAGCCACGGCGCTTACCCCACCAGCTTTTCTTATCTTGTGATGTGGTTTTAGATACGGCTGACAGCGAAGACACAACAAGGGTGAAAAATACAGGAAGTGAGCCCCTCGTGCTACTTCCTGGAGCATTAAGGGGAGGTGTCATGTCCGCAGACTACACCAGGGAGGGCCAGGACCATCATACAGTCCCTCAGAGAACCTCTCACAATCACACATAAACATGGACATGATTGGTTATGGATTTGGTCAAAAAAAGAGCCAAATCTGAATTTGATGCTAATCTTGACTGATGGTTAAAGTCACACAAACTTGATGTCTTCTGTGGAGAGATATGAATATTGTTTCTACCTTTAAGTATCCAGGTGAGGATTAGGGTGGACCATATGGCCAAAGCTAATATCAGAGTTTTCTGACGATAAAAACATTTGTTGTTGATCACTCAGTAATCCTTCAGCAGTCGTACCAGAGCTCCGAACCCTAACCCTGACTCTTCACCAGCTAACTGAGGAGCCTTTTGAGAGCCCACTTTAGATCATTGCTCTGGTTTTGACCAGATTTAGTATCGTCACGATGGAAGTTGTGTTTACATTAGAGCTGTGCAGGTGTGATGTGTCCACTGGTGTGCTGGGAAATATCTGTGCATAATTAGAAGATACCTGTACTAATCAGGTGAGCTGGCACAGCACAGGTGAAGTCAGAAGCAGCATCTCGAACTTCCTGATCTTCATCCTGCAGAAGAGCGAAGAGACTCCTCCACAGTGAAACTGTAGCTGGCAGGCCTGAAAAGACACGCACACACACGTAGCATTTCCAGAATGGGGTCGAAAGGTTTGTCTGCTCCAACACACCTGATTCAATGGCTAAATCAGGAGAACAACTAAAACATGCTGGATAGGAGTCCTCCAGGACCAGAACTGGACACCGCTCACTGATTGTTCAACTTACCGAGTGGAAGGCAAGGACTCATCATCAGAGCGGATGCACAGGTGACCAGCACCTTGGCAACAATTATCTTCACCTGTGCAGGTTGCTCCTCACCACAGCACAAGCACAGCAGCTTCCCCCATGGAGTTACACAGGCCGTCGCAGCCTGGAACGATTAGAAAGGTGCTTTCAGGAGAAGAAACATGGACGAGAGAAAAACAACAAACAAGAATGTCGGAGCATATGTGTAACGCTCCAGAATGAACTGGGAATATTTAGAATTTGAATGGATGCCAAATAAATCCAAAGCTTTTAAGTTATCTGGATAACTCATGGCACTTACACACTAGCATCGGCTCTACTCCGCTGGACCGGGTTTGGAGTGTTCTCATTGGACTTTTCCATGCTCTTTTGCTGCTCCCTCGTGGCCGGAGATGCGCTCATGACATCACTGATATTTATTTTTTGCACTAATGTTGGAGACCGCCCATGTGCTCAATCACGTCTGCATTCCTAAGGCGGTGTGCAACAAACAGTGCCAGGCTGAGGCGGGCGGTGCGGAGTGGAGCCGATGCTAGTGTATGAGTGGCAATACACATACACAGTCAGACAGCCACCGCGGTAAACTGGCCAATCACCACACAGCTAGTTTAATATGCATATCCTGGCCTAGCTGCAGGGCAAAGTCATCCCATTGGCTCCTGGGCCATTTTAAGCCCCGACAAAGTTTTAAATGTTTTAAATTTGGCTAAAAGAAATGTTTCCAGTTGTAAAAAATATTCTAGAGCCCCTTTAACTATTCCATTTGTCAGAAAAGTAGAAAGGGTCAAACACTTGTTACCGGTGATGGTTGTACCGGGACCAGAGTGAATAGGGTGTGTATGGGGAGCATGAGTGGGTGTCCGGCGTGCATTTTTGTAAGTCTTTGTTGTATGTGCATGTGTGAGCGTGAGGGAGGGAGTGTGTGACTGTGTTTGTGTATGACTGTATATGTCAGGTGGGGCTTTTGACTCCTCCCCTCTGCTGGGACTTCTTTTGATGATATAGATCTTCGTCTCCCCTCCCCCTGCCACACCTGGTGTGGGGTGTGGTGCCTTGGTCTGCATGAGTGTTCGTGGCTCCCGGGTCAGGGGGTTTACGATTTTTGGCGTCTGCCTGGTCAATCCCGGTGGCTGCCTGGTGGGGTCTGGGCCCCTGGGCTCTGCTGGGTCCCGGCGGGGGTGGTCGCCCCTGGGTCCCGGGCTTGGCCGGCTAGGGGGTGGGAGGCTGCGGGCGGGCCTGTGGGTTTGCCGCTGATATCTCCCGGGACTCTGCCGGCTGCTGGTTGTGGCCCCCCGGGGCGACCCTCTGTGCCTCTCGAGGGGGGCGGGGGCCTTTATGGTTTCAGTCTCCTTGGGTTTCCTGTGTTCTGGGGCAGCGCCTGGATCTCTGGGACTTGGAGCTCCCCCCGTCTCCTACACATCTTTGGGGGGCAGATCTGTGGTCCCTCACACTCTCTATTGGACGCTCCTCTAGAGAAACCTTACATAAACAAGCGTGTGTACACACACAGGTGCTCACATGGTGCTCTCAAAAGTATGGACTTGGGCACGTTCAACACAGGTCTTAAGGCTGTCGTTGCCACTAAATGCACTGTGATTTATTATCGTGTGATTGTTCAGTTAAACAATGTTGATTTTATATTTCACCATCAGGTTGACGCGGTGATAACTTGCTCCTGATGTATTGTTGTGTGCCCCTTTTTTTCTGTTCTTTCTCTTTCTGCAGGTCTAGAAGCAGACTCTTGTTCATTATTGTTTATTTGTGTGGACCCCCCCCCCTCTCCCCACCTTTTGTCTTTTCCTTTCTCTTTCACCTCTGTCTCCGTGTCTGGTCAGAATTACAAAGCATTCAAAAACAACAATAAAGTTTTAAGGATCAGGCGTGACATTAAAAGCAGACGCTTTGATGCTCCGCCTGAGAGTAAATCTGTAAGGCTTGTCACCAGCATTCAGACATCAATTCTATTTGCTTCAGGACACGGTTAAAAAAAAAAAAGTAGACTTCTTTGGAATATAATGCCTTCAGATATTTACTCAAACATATGAAGACCTTTACCTGGGGATCGGAGTTCACCATCTCCACCAGCAGCTGAGAGACCAGAGTCAGGGCGGCAGCGAGAAGCTCCACGCTAAAACACAACACCAAACACCTGAGATCAAGCTCCAGTTACTCCACTCTCATTCTAGTGTCTCCTCACAAGTGAAGCAATAACTGCCCTCACATTTCTTTCATCAACATAATAAAAATACATAAAATCCGATGGATTCCATATTGTCCACTTGAGATGATCTCTATTATGAAACACTGATTAAACTAGAAAACGTTACAAATCCCACCCACAATATGGAGTTCACGTGTTAAAGACCAAGTTCACTCGTTCTGCAGTGGTCTCTAATATAAATGAAAGACTTGTGAGTTGTTCTGGGGAAAAAAGCTCTGGCACTCCTGTTATAGGATCTAGAAGTGAGCCAGAGCAGAGGTGAGCAGAAGGCATCTCACCTCTGATTGGCTAACAGCAACACGACTCTACCACTGACTCGGTTTGCTCTGAAACGTTGATGATTTATCTCCACAAACAAAACAAGCCTGGAGGAGTTCTGCTGTGTGGTGGAGTTGCTAATGCTAACAGTTAGCTTCTACTAGCAGAGACGTTCTCTGCTGTTTCCTGGACGCTAAATCAACAACAGCCTTCCCCGTCGTGAGTCAAGATGGGTGAGTCCATGAATGCTTAGTGACAGTGTGACGTAGATCTGTCAGGACTTCTAATTCAAGTGTTTCCTCGTCTATTTTCTAGTGGCGGGAAATGCAGGAAACAAATGGAAGACCATCTTCACATTTAGCCTGCATGGTATACTCTGAGTGACTGATCATATTTAAAGAAAACCAGAAAACTTAATTATTCTTAATGATTATTTCTGATTCTAAACGGGTCATTCTGAGTGTTTCATGCAGGCTGAACATGAAAATAGTCTCCTACACATATCTCCAGCATTAGCTTCTGATAGAAAACAGACGGTGAAACTCTAGGATTAGAAAATCCTGACAGATCTACGTCACACTGACTACGTTTACATGCAGCCAATATCCGGGTTATGATCGGGTTAAGGTCGGTATTCGGGTTTCTGAGTTGATCAGAATAACCCGTTTACAAGCATAAATAGAAAGAGTTACCCCTAACTTGCATAACCCGATGTAAATGCGGACATTGGGGTAGCGTCAGGACGTGTGGACTACGTCCAGACGCAATATGCCTCATTTCCGGTTCTTCTTGTTCCGGTATCCGTGAAAACAACAACATTTTTCCCAGTTCGGAAGAGGTAGCGACCGCGTTTGTTTGTGCTTTAGTTTCCTCGTCACTCCAAAAGTGTGGTGCTGTGCCGCGACTCACCATGTTGCTCCCAACTTGTTGTTTACTTCCGGAGTTCTGGCGCATACAAGACGTCTCGCTTCTCAGAAGACCAAGATTCCTTGCGAACAGAGCATGCGCAGAACACACGCTTTGATGGGGATGTCCCGATATGCGTTTACACGACCAAACATTCGGGTTAGAAAAGGGTTACCCCAGGTGTAGTAACCGGGTTTTTAAAAACCCGGCTATGAGCATATCTGGGTTTCTGGCGGTGTTTACATGGACCTGCGGAACCGGGTTATTGTGAATACTCGGGTTTTAAAAGGGTTACTGGCTGCATGTAAACGCACTGACTGTCACCAACATTCATGGACTCACCCATCTGGACTCACAACGGGGAAGGCTGTTGTTGGTTCAGCGTCCAGGAAACAGCAGAGAACGTCTCAGCTAGCAGAAGCTACCTGTTAGCATTAGCAACTCCACCACACAGCAGAACTCCTCCAGGCTTGTGTTATTTGTGGAGATAAAACATCAACGTTGCAGAGCAAACAGAGTCAGTGGTAGAGTCGTTTTGCTGTTAGCCAATCAGAGGAGAGATGTCCACATATCAGGAAATAAGACCCCAAAACCTGCCGTCTGAAGCTCAGCTGTGGTGTTGCTCACTTCTAGTTTCTGGAAAAGGTGCACCGGAGGAGCAGCACTGGGTCTTGTTTAAAAAGTGTGACAACTTGCATGTTGGGATGTGAACATTTTAAATTACTGTTCAGTAAGTAAAATTTCACCCTTCACAGAATACAAACCTTAATAAAATAAGCTTTCCTGATGCCTTTGAGCTGAAATCAAAACGTTAATACAAATTTGTTTAATTGTGCAGCCTGTTGGTAGCTCAGATGCCCCTCAATCACACAGCAGCAACTGAAGTTCACCCTCCCGGGTCCTAATCAGATCACCTGAAACCCGCCAAAGGAGAAGCTGATCCTCAGGCCCTTAAAAGACACAAAGCCTTTGTAATTCAACCTTTACTCAAACCTGTATTCTCCTCACTTACTGAGAAGTACAGGGCTGGATTATAAAGGTAAGGTGTGTGTGCCAACGCACATCAATGGGCTCTGAGCAAAAGCAGAACTGGAACATCGTGTACCAAATGACTCATAAACTCTTTAGTGACTGACTGCTTCGGCCCTGGCAGGTGTGAATAGGCCAATGGAGGAATAATGGTACAAATTAAAGCCTTTGAGAGCATGAATATCAGTATACATCCACTGGAACACCTCCATGTCTTTGATTTCTATTCAAACCACCACCTCTGAGGCTATATGGTGGCCACAACGCTGCAGCCATTTAAGTCTGAGCACAAACAGCACATACAGAGGACAAAGAGTGCACATTTTAAAGGGCGGGAGTGGAAATACCTTCATGTGACCAGAAAATAGGACCAAGCAAGGCTGTCTTTAGGTTGACGTGAAAATTAAACGGGTACCTCAGTGTCGCTTTACTGACCTGTGAACAGAGTTCTGAGCAACAGTAAGGAGGTGCAGCAGGACCTCCTGTTGGGACAAAATCTTTCCTCCATTCGTCCACTGGAGCTCGCCGCTGGAGCTCAACACACACAACACCTGCAGGACCTGAGAGGATGGGAGTGAGGGGGATGAAGAAAAAAGGGGAATGTGTTTTATAACACACACACACTGATGCTCCTGAGCCTTTTCGGTCTCTTGTGTGTCTATAGCTGTGGCTCGTTGAAAGGAAGGAAGGAGTCAGCTGGAGATTTTAGGCTGATGCACTTGCAGATGTTGTATTTGAGTCCATTAAAGGTAGAACAGGTGTTCCTGGAAAAAGCCGTTCCAGCAGGCTACATTCTGAAAAAACACAATTCATTTTCTGTCCGTCACTCGGCACGGTTGGTGAGTGTGAGAGGGTGAGGCTGGCTCGCCAGCTTCCTGCTACAGCAGAAAGGAACGTATTGTAATAAAATTATATGGGCTTGAAAACACAACTTCTGTTCTTTGAATAAAACATTAAACTTTTTCTGATGGTACAAACTTTGCAGAGTTACGGTAATTTAAAGTAAGCATGTAAAATGCATCGGCTTTTAGTGGTATAGCAACATTTTTGAGAGAAAAACAGTCCAGGCGCTGGTCAGTCTCCACTCCACAAGTTTCTTGTTAAAAAATACATGAAAAAACAATTTTATCTTTAGTTTTCATCCTTGCATTATCAGAGTAATAGCTTTGATGGTATGACGTCATTTCCAGTCATGTCATAATACAGTACTGTATTTTCCGGAGTACAAGTCGCTCCGGAGTATAAGTCGCACCAGCCATAAAATGTATAACGAAGAAGAAAAAAAACATATATAAGTCGGATTTTGGGGGGAAATTTTATGGTTTTTCTTACAAAATCTGAAACCAAGCGTTTCACATTGCAAGACAAGTACCGGTAACAATAACAGAATAAACAATCAGGGTGCAGCAGCGCGCCACGGTCTCCAGCAGAGGATGGTGGTGTTTCAAACCCTCCCTACGGGCGGGGAGAGTGCCCGCAGCGCCCCGCCACAGGCGGGCAGAGGAGCTGAAACCTGGACTCGAGCCTGCCCGCAGCAGCGCGGTATAAATAATTTGGTATAAAAGTCGCAGGACTAGCCAGACTATGAAAAAAAGTGCGACTTATAGTCCGGAAATTACGGTACTTTGTCCGTCCATCCATCTCCTACGCTTATCCAAAGTCGGGTCACTGGAGCAGCAGCCTAAGTGGAGAAGCCCAGATTTCCCTCTCTCCAGCCACTTGGGCCAGCTCCTCTGGGGGATCCCAAGGCGTTCCCTGGCCAGCTGAGAGATAATAGTCCCTCCAGCGTGTCCTGGGTCTTCCTTTAGGTCTCCTCCCAGGTGGACATGCCCAGAAAACTTCACCAGCGAGGCGTCCAGCAGGCACCCTAACTGCAACTCGCTTTTCACTTGTCTAACCCAGACTCGGGACCTCTCTCCCCCTGAGCCTGAGATCAGTGGTCTCCATTAAATTCACCTGTTCATGCTTTGGTGTGACCCTCATCACCACCCTCTCCTTGTTCTGCTTTTTCTACCCATTCCGCCTTTCCCGGGATCCACTGACTTCCCTCTTTCCTATAAATTTTCTCTCCCTTTCCTCACATTTTGGTTTGTACTGATGTTATAAAATAAGTTAGTCTATTAAAATAGATGCATGGAAAATAATAAAATATAACTAGAAAATTTCCTTAAGACATTTTAAAAAGGGCCCACTGGCACAAGATAGTGGCCATGTGTTAAAGAGGCCCCGATAAAACTAAATAAATGAATAGAGCCTTCTGGCTCAGCTCTCTGTTCACCTCAACAGACCGGTACAACGCCTGCATCACCAATCCACCTGTTGATCTCCTGCTCTATCAAAACTCACTGATGAACAAGACCCTGAGATACTTACTCCTCCACGTGAGGCAGGACCTCATCCTGGACCTGGAGTAGGCATTGTACCCTTTTCAGGGTCTTGGTGTCAAATTCAATCTTGTCCAAAAATCGTTCAGCCCAACTGGAAACCCCCCTCTGCTACTTCTGCTACGTAACCGTATACTAATTTAGTATGCTAGCTAATGTAGCTATCCTGATTCTGGCTTCACTTCCTGCTAAGCTTCTTCACGCTGAGAAGGCGTGACTTATGCACAAAGGAGGTGACAGTGGTGGTCCGACGGCAGTTTGATGGATCCAATCATTAAGAATCGGACGCTCAAAACAACAATAATGTCCTATTATGTTTTGTGTGACCTGCCAAGGAAATACGAATGTTGATTTTCCTTCCTGCTATGGTCTGCTGATGTTTGAATAGATGTTCTTTAACCCTCTCAGGCTCAAAATAAGTTTTGATAAAAGGACGAACAACTAAGTCCTTCAGGGGAACTTCTGAGTAAAAAAAAGCTCATGAAATACGTACGTGGAGTAACCAGGTAGGTAGGTTTTAACGTTGCTGATCTGCAACGGCTGCCTCCAGAGGGTTAATGTGCCAATAAAAAAAATGAATGTCCAGATTCTGCCACTCCAGGACCAGAGAGCAACAAATGAAAAACACCCACATAAACTCCCAGCTTGTCTCCTCTGTTATTCCACCGGAATGGATCAGCCCATCCCATCTTCTGTTCTTCTGGGACAACTGAGAACTTTGTCTGTGAGCTCATTAGCACATTTGTTTGGAAAGCAAGCAGCTCTGACCCAGCTGCTCCAACCACCTCCTGCTGCTTCTGGCTTTTATGAGCGGCATTAATGAGCTCCAGTCTTGCGGCACACTCGGCTGCCCACATCCTCAAGCGTACACCGTCACAGACAAACATGCAAACTCAGGCGTGCAGACAGGCGTTCATGTCCACCCCGCAGCATTGTGACGCTGTGCAGCCACCTTATACCTGCATGGGCAGGTTATACATACAGGATGCACAGATCCTGACCCAAATAAGTACATGTAGCATGAGTGAGTGGGTAAACTGAAAGTACATTAATGGAAACATGTCTGACACCTAAAGCAAAGACTCCATATCAGGTTTCCACCAGACATGGATGCTTGAACTGGTTAAGCGATCTTTATCTCGACCCTTCTGATCTGAAGAATCAGACTTTGTGGGAATTCCTGGATAAATTCTTGTTTTACCACCGATTCTGGGTCAGAAACTCCTGATTCAGTTTCATCTTTCAGGTTTAAAATATCTCTGATCAGCTGGTTAGGATTCTCCATAAAGGGAGCCGCCATGTTTGAAATGACTCCATTCAGACCAGAGCTATCAGCGTCATCAGCGTTAGCCCCGCCCACTGACTGAAGCTGATATTTACAGCAGATAGGACCATTTAAGATTTCTATGAATGAGACCTTTTTATGACGCATTCAATACATTTTCATGTATTCATCAGTAAAATAAATTTAGCTACAGCCCCTTTTATGTTTGCTAAGTCCGTTAGCTTAGCTATCTTAAACTGAGTCGACTCCAAAAGTTGAATTTTAAGGAAAGATGTCACACTGTGTATAGAGCCCGGAGAATGTCTCGTGAATGACTCTCAGCTACTTTGGTACCAATATCTGAAAGGCTGATGGAGTTTGAGTCTTTCACCATGGCGGCCATATTGAATATATTTGACTCCAATAATTAATCAGTAGTAGATGTACGGGTGAAACTGGAAAAATGAGAATGTGGTGCAAACGTCCAAATATTTCAGCAATTCTGCTGAGACTGAGAGAGGCTCAGGGACCAGGCTCCACCCAGTGAAGTATGAAATATTTATCAAGAACCACAAACAGACACGAACATGTAAAAACATTATTGTCCACCTTTGTGTGGCAGGGACACCCCCCCTTAGGCCATATCTAAGACAGGAAATAAATGAACCCATGTGGTCTCACCTTAGCTAAACACTGAGGGTGTTTCTCATGAAGAGCCATGCTGGTCAGGTTAGACACGTTGATCTTCTCCAGCCACTGAGGCTTCTGCTTCACGTCATCTTTCTCCTCTTTAAGGCTCCTCAGGAAGCTCTCAGCCGCCGCCTCCCTCACCTCGTAATGTGGACTCAGCAGCAGACGCTCCAGAAGCCCGTTCACCTGCTGAGCGCTCTGCCACAGATCTGGAAGCTCCACGCTGGCGCTGAGGGCCAGTTGAGTCAGGCTGAGCAGATACTGGACAGTCCCAGGCCCAGGGACGGCAGGAGAGTCAGGGGTGACCAGTTCAGAAGCCATCAGGACTGGAACGACCTTCTGACGTAGAGCGCTGACCTCGGCATCTGACAGCCACATAAAACTCGATGTTAGCCAAACCAGCCTTAGTATGAAATCTCAGCTTCCATGTTTTGGTCTAATGTTTATAATAGGGCTAAAAAGTCAACAATTTAATTAATAATCGGTGAAATAAATTAGATTTATTTGAAAATCTGTTGCTTGCTGGCTCAGGTGGTGGTGGTGGTAGGGGGGCAACAAAAGAGATGTGGAGCATTCTAGTCAGCGTTTGTTATTGTTTTTATTTGTTAATACAACCAACCCACATTTGAATAAAGTAAGTATATTGGTCAGCTCCTATAGCTTATTACAAACATGAAAAATACCACTTAACAGTACTTTTGTAATCTGTAATTAATCGCAAGATAACTATGGAACTCGTGCGATTATTTGAGCTTATAATTTTGTTTATTGTGGATCCACAGCTCTAGCCTAGAACTCCAACAGCCATAACTTACCCTCCAAAATGCTGGCTTTTGACCCACAAAGGCACATCATCACATCTAAAAAGGCCCCTCTGGTAACCACACATTTATTCAGCCTGAGAAGACAAAACATAACCAGATATTAGATCTTCAGTTTGATGAAAATCAACATTCACCCAGACAGAAAATGTTCAAAGGTATATTTCATGTTTGATAGTCCCAAAACGTTCTAATTGGGTCTGTACTAATAATAACGCAGTTAGCATTCACAGCCCCCTGGTTTCCTTTAACCCTTCATAGGATAATATTTGATCATTTTTGCAAGCTTTAAGACTCAAAGTACACTAACAAATGGTGTTTTGCCCACACTTTAAGCCTGTTTACCTTTAAGTACACCAACCTGTAGAGGTACGTTGGTTCGGGACGTACCTTAGTGGTAATCCAAGTTTGGTTAATTTGCGGAACAAAGTGATAAAAAATTGTTTTTCTCTTCTCTCGCTTTAATGACCTTTTAAGGAAAATCTTTACTTACAGTAAAAATAATCTCAGATAAATGACGGGACTACTGAAAAACATTCATTCAGTATTTCCTTAAATGGTGAGATGAGTGTCTAATAGACATGTGTAGTCATCAACTTATGCAAAATTGTATATTTCAGCCCAAAACTGTAATTATATCTCCATCCTCGGGTTAAATCTCTACTCCACGCTTATTCAGAATCAGCCACAGCTGATGGCTGTAGAGGTTCAGGGGGACGTTGTCTGTACCGGACTACATGGCTGCACTGCAGAGGACTCAAGTTGAGTTTCGGCTGCACCTGGCTCAACCAGCTACTCCCGTCCTTAACAAAACTTCCTTCTCCGCCCTTTCTTCTAGTGATCGCAGTGGAAAGAAAATCCTCCAGCCTGCAGCATTTTCTATGTTTAGTGGTTCAGACATGTGAGTCTGCCGTGTGTGTGTGTGTTCAAGCGCAAGTGTGCGCGCGCACTTGTCAACATGTTTTTCCAACTGAGAAGCACCAAGAGCGCACAGGGGGACTGAAGAGGTCCTGTCAATCACTGCTTCAGTGCCGCCCTCTTGGTTTGCCAGGCGACGCCTCTTTTAGGCACATTTTTCTAACAGGAAGTGTGAGTGAAGCAAGACTCCACCCATGGGTTGACTCACCCCTTTAAGTGCAACATAGACACCAGGATCACACGAGCTGCGAAGTGCCGCGAAGTGGATCACTCACGAAATTGGTCCGCTGCTCCTCTGTTCACATAAGGCAAGATTTTTCAACGAGCGCGTCTGCTCATGCCTACCGTTTTCCAAACACGCCAAAATGATCGCTGCACGGCGCGAGCCTTCGTCACGCTTCGCAGCTGATGTGGTCGAGACCATAGGTTAACAAGGGCGTCGAATAGAAGCGCTCTTTGTTCCGCGGCGCTTTGAGGCGCATCATTGGCGGTTCCGCGTCTGATGTGAACGTTTAATGTAATCCAGGGGTAAGAGTTCCAGCTTGTTTGACAGAAAGAAAATGACCTTTTTATATACCTCTCAAGGTAAAAATCACGAGGCGCTTCATAACAACAAAAAGTTTAAAATATAAAAAAAAGAAAAAATAAATGGTTAAAGTGAGAAAAAAGAAATGTGAATAAAAAAGTGTTTTGTTTTCTGAGTCTGTGGAAGTTAACTTAACTTGGTGAACTTATTCACCCTGGACACGAAATAATAGCACAAACATAAATCACCAGATGGATCTTAAGTGAAGTAGACCCACACCTTACTACGACCCTCTTTTTCCATCTGTAACAAAATAATCAGCATAAAAGTAGTTATATATCTGTTGATACTAAGACAAAGTAAAATACATTAAATGTGGCATTTTTATACGTAAATTTAAAAATTATCATGTAAATAAATGATGTCAGACATTGTGGCACAAAACCAATGGCTCTGTTTTTGTTTGGTTCCCCAGCTTTTAAGGCTTTCTCATTTACTATTCAAGTCTTTTTAATTTTTTTTTCCTTCCACTGAATTTTCTACTTTTGTTGTCAGGTTTTTTCTAGTTATTCTTCTTTCCCTTTTAGGTTTCTTTCTTCTTCTTTTAAATTATTTTCATTTATAGTTCCTCTGCTGTACTCTGCTCCCACTCACAGCTCTTCCTCATAACTAGTCCCCTGTCATCTCTCACTCCTCAGTGCATACGGTTCAGTTTCAGCAGGGGTCGGCAACCTGTTCCCATCAAAGAGCCATTATTACCCGTTTCCCACAGTAAACACTGGGAGCCACAACAGCCGCGGCGTTGTGGGCGGGGCCTACCCTCAGACAGCAGAGAGCTGCTTTAACCAATCACAACAGGTGACAGCAGCCAGTACTAGTCGCTCGTGTACGTCAAAGTTATCTTTCATACGACGATAATCAATAAAACGATTTATATAAAGTGGATCCAGAAGTTGTAGCCCGTCTCTGCCTACAACATTTTGGTATTTTTCACCCTGTTGGTGGTTTTACTGAGCAGGTGCCACTTTTGTCATACGTTTCTTTTTAAAACATGTTTAGACTGTTCAGAATACAAATCCAGGCTCTGTCACGTTTGATTGTTGTAATTAAACTTTGTAGGTGGGGAAGGTCAGAAAAGGATCCGATCAATTTGTTTTTCCCTCATTTACAGCGACGGAGATAATGGCGCAGTGCGCCTGGCTCTGGTGTTAATCAAGTTTAATTATATCTATTTTCACAAGAAAACAGAACAGTTAAAAGCAGGGCTTGCGTTGACCGGACAGTTCCCGTATTTGGGCGTTTATTTTGACGGAGAAAGAATAGAAAGAATTACCCCGACGCATGCAGACGAACTGACACTTCATTCGTTACGCACATCGCAGATGTAGCTAAATCACTCAAGAAAAGATTCCCATCTGAGCTGGACACTGCTCAGCGCAGCTCGCTGTCAGCGCGTACGTATGGTGCACAGTGAGCTGAAGATGTAGAGAGGGGCTTGGAGCGTGTCGCAGAACCAGGGCGCATGCAGGAAGATTCCTCCGACTGAAGCGAGACTTGTCACTTAGAAAATGTTCCCTGATTGTGAAACTTTGGCTGAATTGTGCTTGTTCCTGTCTCCAATGTGGCGACACATCCAGGAGCCGTCTGAGGAGAATCCCAGAATCTCACATCCTCTTCAGCTCAGAAAGCGCCTATGATTACGCACAAGCGTGACACATCAACCCGGTCTCACAGTAAGACCGGGTTGGACCTGTTCAGGTTTACGCAGACAATCTTTACATTTAGAATTGGCATACAGATGTAAAATTAATTTAGTAAAATATACAGCATTTTATTTAAATATCCATTCATTATTTTACAAGCACAGAGAGCCGCATCAGATGAATGGAAGAGCCGCGGGTTTCCGACCCCTGAGTTTCAGTCATACTCTGCTGGTTTCAGCGTCCTAGCTACCTGATTTTTGGCATTAAAATACTTTTGAGTTTTACACTTTTGGGTTTTGGATTCTTTCCAAAGCCGACAGTATTAGGAAAACAAAAACTAAGATACGTTAAATGACTAGTATGTGGCAATATATATGCCTTTTATAAAATATAAGGCTGAAAAAATACAATAGATTTATTCTATTGTAGAGAGGAATGTTTATTTTCTCGTATTACTGCCCTTCCTCCTCTACCAGCTAGGTCTGCTATCATAGCGCTTCATTGCCTTGTTGTCATCTTACATTGGTGATCTTCTTAGTCCCTACACCCCCAGCAGGTCCCTGAGGTCCAGTGATCAAAGCCTACTGGTTGTGCAGCACCAGGCTAAAGACCAAAGGTGACAGATCATCTGCTGCTGTGGCCCCCAGACTCTGGAACTCTCTCCCCCCGAGCCTGAGATCAGTGGACTCAGTGGTCTCCTTTAAAAAGCAGCTGAAGACTCACTTGTTCAGGCTTTGTTGTGACCTTCATCACCACCCTCTACCTTTCTGTTCTTATTCTGCCTTTCCCAGGATCCATTGATTTCCCTCTCCCCTATTCATTTTCTCTCTCCCTTTCCTTACATTATTTTCTTTTCTCCTCTTAAACATATATTTAATCATTTCTGTAATCTTTTTATACTTAAATCTGTTTTATTTTTGTAAAGCGTCTTCTGATTTTTATCTTGAGAGGCGCTATATAAAAGATTGTCTTCTTCCAAAGTTCAAACTTCTGTTTAGCATCATCATGTTGCCAGGCGACCAGGCATAAACAGAGATATCTGCAAGAGTAAATTTGAAGGCTAGAACGTCCAATTTCACAGCCGTTCACTTCTGGTCTTTTTGAAGGAAGCAGAGCCTGAAATTTGGACGCAGCCTCATATCGTTTGGATAAAGTGCACCAAAGTTACACCTCCATGTGGGAACCCGATACAACTCTGTCCCATTCCAAATAAATCAGAATATTTAGACCTGTACTGTTACACCCATACTAACCAGAGTTTCTTGTTTGTTTTTGAAGGTGAACTAAGGTAAATTTATCCCTGAGGTTTCTGATGTTTTTATTACCAGTTTGGCCACAGGTCACAGGTTTGAATCTTAGTTGGTGGCAACACATCTTCCAAATGGATCTAAGGATCAGTGAGGGACAGGGATGAACTTTGGCTTTCACCCAAAAGTCCCCTATGATCTTGAAGGTGTGACCCCTGTTATTATTTAACTCACACTAGGTGAGGCCTGACATGCCACTCCATCTCAAAACGCCTTATGAAACATCCCCAGCTGAGTCAGGATTTGATGAACAGCGCTGAAGCCATGCCCTGGGTTCATGCGTTCATAAGATGGTGAAGTAACAGATTCATTAGGAAGCTGATTGATTTTCCATAAGTTTCATATTTTCATTCCTAGAAAAGTTGGTTTGAAAATGTTTGACACACCTTCGGTTTGTGTGAAGTTAAGAACATAACAAAATAAAAGCATTTTCCCAAAGCCTACCTTCAAGCTATGAAGGTGGGATTCCACCATAGCGTTTAGGTCACCTGCTGACAGACTAAAGCAGGGATTCCAAAAGTGTGGTGCGCGCACCCCTGGGGGTGTGCGAGCTGCCGCTAGGGGGTGCGCAAGGTGAAAAGTGTAATGGCTGCGGAGCTCAGAGAAGTCTGCCATATGTCACCATTAGCGTAGCCAGAAACTCATTTGTGGGTGGGCCAAAGAAAAAGTAAGTGGGCACAATAAATGTAATTGAAAACAAGTATAATTTTGCGCGCGCGTGTCCTCCACATGTGCCCTAACTTCATAATAACAATGCGTCGAGCTTCAGCACTCTGGCCTGCACACGCCGATATGTTCTGTATTTGATCATTTTTAACGGTGTTGGAGGAATCTGAAGGTGGCGAGTCATTTTGGCAGATTGTAATTAACACCTGTCTCATGCAGGTGTTCTGACGTTGTAAACCTCACACACAGAACATTGTGGATGTAACTAAATAACAAGAAATGATTCCCATTCAGGCTATTAACAGCGCGCTGAAGATCTGAAGTTCAGAGTGCGTCTGTCAGAGGTCAGACGTGTTCCAGCGGAACCACGGCTCACGGGTGCACAAGTGAGCACATCTGGGCTGGGCAGAAGTAATTTTACAACATTGGTTTAAATAGTGCGAGACGCGGTGACTTGAGCGGCTGTGCCGCGCGCGCGTGCATACACACACACACAGATTCAATAAGCGCACACGCTGCTTTAACTCCGGCGCGCCGTCAGACTGAAGGCAAAAATGAACGCTGCCTCCACCGTGAGAACAACTTTTAAGAGGTTATTTTTCATTCAAGGTCAAATTAAGATATTAGCTTCTGGGATGAGTCTGGTCCGCTCCAGCCAGTGACTCCTCATGAACCTGACCACAACTCCTGTTACTGCAGCATTTGTTGTTCCGGTCCGCATGACAGCGAATCGCAGATTCAGCCACACCATAAAACAGCAATAAGTCGGTCTGAGGTAAAAGTGAACATCATGGCTATATCTTGTCCCCTATAGACATTTGATTACGCACAAGTAGGTGATCAGCTCAGGTTTACGCAGAGCAGAAGGAAGGAGAGCGCTCTGGCCGCACAGGTTAAACGTTCCTACTTTAAGAAAACCGTTAAATTGCATTGTTTATGTGCTACCTGGGCACTCTAAATATTTATTTAAAATGAAATCAAAGGAAATTGTAATGGTATCGAATGCTTATTAATTACTATTTAAAAAATGAAAGTGATGGGGATTTTTTTTAACCCTGTCTGTTTAGCTTGACATCTGATTATATATATATATATATATATATATATATCTATATATATATCTATATATATATATATATATATATATAGATATATATATATATATATATATATATATATAGAGAGAGAGAGAGAGAGAGAGAGAGAGAGAGAGAGAGAGAGAGAGAGAGAGAGAGAGAGAGAGAGCCATGCCCCAATGTGGGGGCTGGGTCGACATGGCCGGGACATAGAAGGGGGTGCGAGGCTAAATAAGTTTGGGAGCCACTGGACTAAAGGAAAACACTGTCATTGTTCAACGTCTTTCTGGAGCCAGGAAAAAGGTTCTAAATGGCACAAGGGAGAGAAACCGTGTGAGGCCAAAACCCAGAACTGACTCAGTCCAGATGAGAAATGCATTCTGGCCTTTTTGGAAGGCAGCCACAACAAATTAGTGGTGTTCTGGATGAGGTTTTCGTTTTCCAAAAACAGAGATGCTCTGACCTGTGATGTCCTTAGATCAGACCAAAAGGTTCTGTGCTGCTGCAAGATCGAACAAGACCCACTGGTGAATCCTAGGGAGCGAGAATTCACCACCTTACCGTTGCTAAAAGGTTACTGGGGTGACCACACAAAACTAGCAGCGCTAACGGTGCCAAGCCAACACCTTCCCTTATTGACCGGAACTGACCCCAGCCAATCAGAACCACTGGATCTGGATGAAAAAGTCCTGAGTAAGATCAGCAAACGCCCAACAATAAAGAGTACACTCTTCTTCAGCAGAAGCTGGAGGAATATATGCTTGTACACTAGTGTGTGTGTGTGTGTGTGTGTGTGTGTGTGTGTGTGTGTGTGTGTGTGTGTGTGTGTCTGTGTCTAGGGCTACCGAGAAGCGAGCCACATGCGCTGATGAAGAGCTTCAGCAATGCCACTTCCTGTTGGCAGGGGTCTGTGGGACTCAGTCTGGAAGGACTGTAGGAGAAACAGCACCTGCAAAAAAATACCCAAAAATACAAACACCCTTGAACGTATAGACACTAAACTACAATTTCTTTTTTCTTACAAGAGGTGCTGTTCTTCACGCAAATCACAGAAACTAGTGCATAAAGATTTAAACTGCTCCCTAGACCTCCCTCTCTCCAGCGCATCCAAGAGGACTTTCAACAGGAGTTCCCAGGCCAGCTGGGATAAGGAAGACGTACAGAGGACACCCACCCTAAGGACATAATCCCCCAACAGAAGAGGGTGAGTGCAGCAACCGAGGACGCTTATTTTAGCAACTTGGTCCTTTTTCCGGTCTTCATTAGGAATAGATGATGGTTGGGACCTCGGCCAATCAGTGAGCGAACAATCTCTAGATTCAATGTAGCGACTGACCATCAATTAGGGGTTGCATGACTTAATTTTTCTTTAAGTCGACAGGTCGGTAGGTTCGCTGGAGTTTTTGACAATTAATATTGCGCCCACATTTTCTAAGTTAACACATTTCTTTTAACAACGGTAGTTTCTGCTTCAGCCCTCTCCCCCCTCCCCCTGCGCAGCGGCCGCAAACTCACTGATGCGCCTGCAGCCTCTCGGAGTTCCTGCTGCTCTAAACATTAAAATAATTATTTCATTTTCTGTTCCTCACTTGTGATTACCTTCAATGGTGTCTGTTTGTTGCAACCACCAGGTACAAAAACTAACTTGTTTTTATTTGACTATTTTTCTGTCCTGCCTGTTTATTATCTTCCTGCATCTCCTCTCAATCCCTAAAGAAAAACTGCTACCTGGGTTCATATATATTCACCTTATGAGTTACCTTTGAACTGCAGTTCTGAAAGATCTACCGACCGCAAAAACAGCGGAGTGCACTGCCGCTGCTCGCCGGCCGACTACAACGGGACCGTTTTTGCTGCGGAGTTCGTGCCGCAGCGGAGCGGAGATGGTGGAATTTTGGGGGTGCGTCACCGGAGGACAAAACAGGTGAAGAGCCTCGCTCCGCAGCAGCGAAACGCATCAGGCACAAATAACAGACAGAAAACATTAAAGGAAATGAGCCGACATGAACGATCGCGTGTTTAATTTGTTTTTGAGGTGGTGACACCTGATTTGGCGGTGCTCAGGACACAGATGTCTGGAGCGCGTCAACGACCAGAGCTTTGCATGCGCAAACTGGTTAAGATTAGGATGGGGGTGAGGGGAAGGTAAAATTGCAAGAGGGAAAAGGTCACAGTTTGGTTAAATGTCCGTTTTACCACCGGTGTCAGAACCGACGCTCTGGCACAGCGCGTCGCCTCCGCCTCCCGACGCAGGGGCTCATCACCTGCTGTCTTTTCCGAGGACTGCATCTTGTCAGTCACTATCACGCGACAGCGACTAGTCAATGACAGGCATAAAAAGTCACTACAGAGCCGTGAAGTCGACTAGTTCATACAACCCCTACCATCAATGACTCATGAACAAGACCCCCAAGATACTTTAACCCGTCTGCTGTTCCAAATGATCTGAGCTGTGACTCCTGTGCTAGAGAGAACATCACATTCATCAACAACCCATTTACATAACCTCTAGAACACTCAGTCGCACGATGCCTTGCATGTTGTTGCCCATGCAACCTGTAGATCCTCCACCAGAGGGCAGTAGACACGTACAGGGCTGAATACGGCAGGTTTCTGGTGAAAGTACTAATCCTGATGCTCCATTTGGATGCTTTAAGACGAAGGGGCTTTCCTGTATGTGGATTTGTGACGGTGATCTAATGCGTATGTAACATGAATACAAACATAATATACACAAGTATCACTAATACTCAGTAATTTTTACTTTGAAGTCTTTTTTTTCTTTCACGGCTTTATTTAATGCACGCTGGGCAACAAAAAACTACTCATGAATGCAGTTTTAAAAATATATTTAGTTTTATCTTAAATATTGTTTTTTGCATGATTATGCCACAAATGAAATTCAGCCATCATAAGCTTAAGTTAAACACACACACATCACATCTTCTAGCGTTGGCAAAAGTAACCTTCAGAAGGTAAAGTTCCCGTTTTCAAGCCAAACCTCATTAAATAAAAACGTTCCCAAAACAGAAACATGATAAAAAAACACATTTAAGAAGCAACTTGGATGCTTTTCAGACCTTAAAGGTCTTAAATTAGGCAAATTAAATAAAAAAAATTCTAAAACCCGGTAGAAACATGACGTGTTGTGAGTGAAAGGATGAATCACTTGCAGAGCTCGTACTAACCTACATAACAAACACGTATTTATTCACTCTCACATGTTCTATGAGTTTATCCACAAACACCATTGGATTTATCTGTACAGCCAAGAATTTATATTTGTATTTTCTAAAAAAAACAAAGAAACACCTGTGCTTGAAAAGAAATATTTCCTACTGAAGCCCAGAGTAGTGGATGTGACAAGGACCGAGTCGGCCCGCAGCAGGTGGACTGGTGGTTGGGAGCATTCTGAGGCGAGGACTTTAACCCGGCTGTCTGGCTGAAGTGTGTATTCTGGGCCTTGGTAAGTATACTCTTTAAGCTGGGGCCACAGCCACAGACCAGTAGGAAGCCATTCATTACACTATGCAAAGAAGGCAACATGGGGAAAAACCATATCAACTGTGTAACATTAAGCCTGGCCACGGAGTCCCAGCCCTCCCCAGCTACTCTCTAGTAGTCTCAGCATCTAGACAACACCCACTGGCTCGCACAAACAGCCTTCACACCCCGCAGGTCTTTTTTTCCTCTCACTATCATTCACTGATGACTTTTCAGCAACAAGAAGCAGGAGGTGGAGCCGCTTCCCAAACTAAATACTGAATATTTACATGCGATTCCCGTCACACTTGAAACAGTCTTGGCGTTCCTAAACCATAGATGAAAAACACATCCGGGAAGTATTTTGTCTTTGACGTTTTGATGTCATCTTTGAGTGAATATGATTAGACCGCACCAGAAAAGCCTCGCTAGCCTCCTGCACAACACTTGTAGCCATTTTAGCGTTTGCAAATGTTGATAGGCTTTGCGGCGGCCATCTTGAATTAAGGTGTTTCCAAGTTAAACATTTATAGAGGAATGTGTAATAATTATTTGCTGAAAGCTTTATTAAAATTATTTGAGTAGCTCATGAGATATTTTGCTAACAGTTTTGACTGCAACAAGGAGCAACGTGTAGCTGATGTGTCGGGGCTGCAGCCCAACATCTGCAAAATCCACTCATTTGTTGTGTTTTCACACCTGTAGCTTGGTTCCTGTGGTCTGAATCAGTCGGCAGGATATAAAGGTCAAAATTTAACGCCATACTGGAAAGCCTGTTAGCAGGCTTTGTGTTCAGGGCCACAGTTTCCAGGATATAGCTGAACTGTGACCATGACCAGCGCTAGCTCTGGAGCTCACTCACTCTCTAACAGCACTCCACACACCTCATCACTGGGCTGAAAATCCCTGTAGGTGAACACTCAGTCCCACCCTCAGCATGGTGAAAACCAAAATATTTATATGAAATGCTCCCTCCCTGTAGCCTGGCAAGCAAGACTAAAAAAAATATGCTATTTAAGAATTTGGTCTCGTTCACTAGGCTGCCCTCCCTGTTCTTCCTCCCAAAAGCTGATTGCAGAAGGACATCCCATGCAGGAGGAGACACTGGGATGGACCATGCTTGAATAAATGGGAAACATTAAGATGGAAGCAAATGGATTCAGCTTGGCTTTATTTAGCTTAGCTTCTTTAATAGTGGGCGTTCTGCTCTATTTTACGGATTTGATTGGGCTTCTATCAGATCTTTGCTTTGGTTAGTCCTGCTGCAAGAACACAGCACAGGACAACAGCCCCTAGTTTCAATTCAGCCGGAGCAGTTCTGCATATAGCAATGTCTCTTCAGTTCCTTTAGGGGGTTTCTCCAGCTAATTTGGTGTTAAACGTGTGGTCGTGTGCCTGGTGTGTCTGTAGGGGTCCTCAGATGAACAGGTGACCCTGCCTCGCACCTAATGAGACCAAAGATAAGCTCCTGCAACTGAACGGAATTAAATGGGTTAGAAGAAAACTTATAATAAACAATTTTGCCCAAAGTACTGGGACACCCCACCCCGTCAAATCAATGCATCAAAGGGGTCATCAGACTTCTGAAAGAGGTCTTGATTTCAGATTAGTTTTTTATCAGGCTGAATAAAGTTTAATTAGAAAAACAAAAATTTACTTTATTCTAAACAAGTTATTATAATTC